ACGTAGAACGAGTCTTAGGTGTTGAGATCCCATTTCTCTTTCGCACAAGACTCAGCGCTCGCACCAGAATTCTTTTGGAGTCTTCTTGAAGAATCCGTCTCGTCCTTTTCGCCTGCGGATACGTTCAGCTCCCTAGATGTCCCGCGTTCGCCACGTCATCTCAGATCACCCCAACCCCCGATGCATGTCGGCACCTCCGACGCCGCTTTGCCCAAAAGAAGACACGCATGCCCGGGGGGAGGGGGGGACGGCGCGTCTTGAATTCTTTTCGGGCCCGGAGTCTTCTTGGAAGCATCCTGATCACCACCCCAAGAGAACGGTGCCACCATACCCCCGACCCGTCCAAACTACGAGTTGTACGCCGGTCCCGATATGGGCACTTCTCCTCCGCGCTGCTCTCCCTCGCGGCGCTGGCGCTGGCTCGTGGCGCCGTCGCTCCGCGCCGCACCGTGCCTGCTGGACGCGTATACCACAGGATTTGAGCGGCGGGAGAGCTGATCACCTTTTAACCCGCGTGGACTAGGGTCGACGAGGACGCACGACCCACAACTTGCGACGAGTTCGTTGAAGGACCAAGCACGTGGCGGTACGCTCAGCTGTTGTCAAGGACTAGCACGCCGCCGCCACATCATGTTCTTGCTGGATCGCCAGCACACCAGAAAGTGGAAGCCTTCATTTGTCTTTGACGCCGACCCACGAAGCCAAGAAATCAATCACGACTCTCACAGTGATTTGGTTGGGCTCGTCAGCTTGTCAGCCCTCAGCCCATGCCTCAGCCGAAGCTGGGGCCGGCCCCGTAGCCGAGAGAGCCCGCGTCGACTCTCGAAGCCAGGATAACCCAGCCTCCCCCCCGCCCCCCCCGCCGCCCCCTTCCCTCTCGATCCTCACGAAGGTAGAAGAGAGAATGCCGAGCCCAAATCACTGTGACCGTCGTGATTTCTGGTTGGCCTTCAAAAAATCTCGAAGGTACAGCTAGCGTCCACCCATACCGCGTTGGTGTCCCAGTCGTTGGTCGGACTGTGTTTCGCCTTCCCATCAATCAATACAGCTGCCCTGGGTCGTCGACTACTCGAGTACTTGCCGCGAGGTGTGGATGCCTGGCGGAGGAGGTGTGTGTGTGTTTGGGGTGGTGGTGGGGTGGGGTGGGGGGGGGGGGGGGCGTAACCCGGAGTGGGACTGTGGGAGCGAGAACAAGAAAGAAGAAAAGAAAGGAGGGCAGGGAGGACGGCCACGCTGCCACCAACCCCCGATGCATGTCGGCACCTCCGACGCCGCTTTGCCCAAAAGAAGACACGCATGCCAGGGGGGAGGGGGGGACGGCGCGTGTTGAATTCTTTTCGGGCCCGGAGTCTTCTTGGAAGCATCCTGATCACCACCCCAAGAGAACGGTGCCACCATACCCCCGACCCGTCCAAACTACGAGTTGTACGCCGGTCCCGATATGGGCTTCTCCTCCGCGCTGCTCTCCCTCGCGGCGCTGGCGCTGGCTCGTGGCGCCGTCGCTCCGCGCCGCACCGTGCCTGCTGCACGCGTTCGCGCCGCGTCAGCCGCGTCGCCGCGGCCGCGCTACGACAAGACTCCCGCCGAGCTCTTTGAGAAGGCGTTTGCTCCCTACTACATCCCACCCACGGTGGCAAACGCGCGCCCCGACCTGGTGCAAAAGTACCAGCCTGAGTCGCTCAGCAAGGTGCGGGGCGGGCGCGCAAAGATCCGCCCCAAGCGGATGGTTGTTTACGTGGATGGCGCAAAGCGCTACCAGCGGCCGCCGGCGGGCCAGTGGAGGAGAGTGGCGGTGGCACCAAAGCCAGTGGCACCGGTGGAGCCAAAGAGCACGGACGCAGACTACTACTGGAAGCAAGCGCCCATCCACAACTGGGGAAACACCGGCTTCCGCGGCCGCATGCACGCCTTCTTGTCGCCGCTCGCGACCGCAATCATCGACCGGACGAGCTACGGTGGGCGGGACGTGAGGCACGAGATCCTGAAGCAGATCAAGGGCGACGGGACCGTGCTCGATCTCTGCTGCGGCACCGGCTTCAGCACCGCGCCCGGCGCCGTCGGCGTCGATGCGACGGAGGAAATGGTCGACGTCGCTCGCTTCTGGTGCGCGCCGCGGCCTTCACCCGAGTCGGCCGTGGGGCGGGAAGCAGTCGGTGAGCCGGTCTCCGCGCGGCGTAGGCACCCGGGCAAGCTCTTCCGCGTGGGCAACGCGGAGAGCTACGGCGAGCCCTTCTCGTTCGACGTCGTGACGGTCATGTTTGCGACGCACGAGATGCCGCAGGCGGCTCCTTCCTTCCGAGACACTTCCGAGCACTTCCGTTAGCGCTCCCTACGCAGAGAGAACTCGCCACGGGGTGCCCCCGTCGGGCCGCTCACCGCCAGCTCCCATTCGCGGATTGCTCCCTCGCAGGCGGCGCGGCGGCGCGTGCTCCGCAACGCGGCGCGCATCGCGCGCAAGTATGTGCTGATCGCCGACATCGACCCAAAGTACAAGCTGCTGCTGCTGCAAGACCCGCTGCGTAAGGCGCAGGCGACGGCGTTCCTCGCGGGCGAGCCGTACGTCCCGTCGTATCTCAAGGGGATGCAGGAGGACGTCGAGAGCGTCGTCAACATGCGCGGCGGCTGGAGCCTCTCCACCTTCGAGCAGATGACTGGGTAGCCCTCGCCCTCCCCTCCTCACGCCAACACGCCTCAGCGCCACACACCCGCACGTGTCATCACGCCCTCACGCCCTCACGCCCTCACGCCTCACGTCCTCACGCCCTAGGCCCACGCCTGCACTTCCTCCGTTCCTCACCCCCCCCGCCCCCCCCCTCTCACGTCCCCACACCCTCGCCCCGCCACGCCCTCCCCGATCCCCTCCAGGCACGTCAAGTGCTGGAAGCTCGAGCGCGCGAACGTGCTCGAGGGGAGGCCAGGCGCAGGCCCGGACCCCGAGCGCTTTGGGGTCTGAGCGACCGCGCGCCGTGTAACATTCACCCCTTGCACCCCTGCATCGCCGGGACCGCTCCCCGCCGCCGGGTATCTACTTGCCGCTCTTGCTCGTCTTTGTGCGTGATTTGTCTCGTCCACTTGCTCTCTTGTCCCGTTCCGTCGCCCTCAACGCGGAGTGCCGCGCCCACTTTGACTGTGCTTTCGTCCAGTGCCCCCTCTCATGCCATACTTGCGTCGAGCCCGTCCCCCCCCAGAGTGCTGGCGACGTGAGCTGCCCACACGCGCCACGGCGCACGGGCGGCCGCGCACGCCGCGCCCCCCGTACCGGCCGTAGCGCTGCCCCATACAGAGATGTTCGCGCCTGGTAACTGTTATGTTGAATCCTGAACCAACCAAGAGATGCCAGCCACCCCATGCCAGCCACACCTCGCACCTCTCGCGCCCGCTCCCGAACTTGAAATTGCAACTTGCGTGTGTCATCTCCCGCCGCGCACAAGCACCTCTCCGCTCCCCATCATCCCCCGCGCAAGCACAGCCACACACACTCCTACTGAAGGCCCGCAGCGGCAGCCTCTCCTATGGCGGCCTACTCGTACTCCCCGCCGCCGCCGCCGCGGAGAGGGGGGCCATGGCCGCTCTACGCAAACGACGAGAGCACGTTGAGCCGGCGCCCGAACTGCTCCTTCTTGGCCGGCTTGACGGAGCCTGCGGACGAGCCGTGGATGTGTTGGGGGCGCGCGAGGTCTCACGCCGTGTGAGGGTAGCTGAGGGCGGGGGACGGGGGACGGGGGACGGGGGAGGGCCCGCACCGTCGTCAATCATCTTTTGCAAGCGCGCCGTCTCCTTGCTGATGAAGCCGCCGTCGGCCGCCGCCTTGTCCATCACCTTGAGGTAGTACTTGGCCGCCTGCTCCGCGGCCGGGCGCGGTGTGACGGCGTGCGCATCGGGCCGGCGTGAAGGCAGCTCAGTGGACGGTGCTTTACACATGGTGTGCTGTGGTAGTGCGGTGTTTGTGAGGGTGGTGTGTGCTCCAGCAGGCTGTTTGAGCCGCGTAATCGCTGCGCGCTCGCGACTCCGCGGCCAGCCCTGGTCGCCCAGCCCCCCAGATCCGGGTACCTCGTCAGAGACACCTCTTGTCGTGTGGAGAGGTCGGACGGTGTCGCGTGCGTGCGAAGCTGTGTGCGCCCGGGGGGGAGGGGCGCCGCCCCCAGTGATTGCAGCCAGCACGCCGCCGCCCTACACGCCCGTCTCCCTCACCCTCCGCGTCCCTAGGCCGGCGCGCCTCGTCGCTCATGCCAAGCGCCTTTGCCTCTGCCACCAACCCCGTCTTGTCTGCTGCGGTGCCAAACTTCTTCGCGATCGCGTCGAGCTCCTTGACCTGCCCCGGCAAGCCGATCCACACACCCGCCTTCTCCTGCACGAACCGCAGGAACGCGTCGCTCTTCTTCTCGCCGCTGTAGACCACCGGCGACTTGTCGGAGCCCGAGCCCTGAAGCGGGATGCCCGAAGGCACGGGCCAGACGCGTCAGAGCTCAGGCGGGGAGGAGGCGGGCAGAACCCCCCAGGCGCCCGCTGCCGCTGCCGCGCGCCTTGAGCCAGAGACGGTACTGCGGGAAGTCGTCCGTCTTAATGGAGAAGCGCTCAGCAATGTCGGCATTGTCCTTGTCGCCATACTCCGACACGCCGACGTCGCAGCTCAGCAGCGAGGCGGACGACTCGCCAACCTTCTTTGCGAAGTCCTTCCACGCGTCGTGCTGTGAGCGGCGGCGGCGGCGGGCTCACCACGATCGCAAGCGCACGGCGGCGGCAGGGAAGGGTGGGCCACCTCGTCGCCATACGCATACTCCTTGTCAAAGCGGACAATGACAGCGCGGGAGCCGTCGACGATCTTGTCGAACGTGGTGTTGTCGAGCTGGCGGGCGGAGAGGTGGGGAGAGATGGGGAGAGGTCTCTAGCTCGGGCAGGTGGAGCCTGGCGGGCGGAGAGATGGGGAGAGATGGGGAGAGGTCTCTAGCTCGGGCAGGTGGAGCCTTGAGAATGCCGCGGTCGACGTAGCCGAGCGTCGGCGCGAGGAGGAGAGAGACGATGGACATAGTGTGGCGTGGAGGTGGTCGTGTGACGTGTGCCTTCCCTGATTTCGGGGGGGCGCATTATCTAAGAATTTTTAACCCTAGTGCTCGCACAGCACGACCATCCACGGCGTGGCGTGCGCGGTGCTGCGCGCCGCTCTGCGAGCGCTTCTGCGGGCGCCTCATGCTGCACTGCTGTACATCATCCTGCACTGCTGGATTGGACTGCGTTGGTCCTCGAGGAGACTGCGCGGTGCACTACGCGGAGGTCTGCGAGCGTCGATCGCGCACGGCAGGCGGATTGCGGGCTGCGTGAGAGCGGCAGGCGCTCTTCTCTCTCTGGTGCTGCTGCTGCTGCTGCTGCTGCTGGTGCTGATGGCGCTGATGCTGCTGCTGGTGCGGCGCGGCTCTGCGACTCGGATCACCGCGCGCGTCGCTGGAATCTGACGCGGTGGGCGGCGTCAAGAGCGGCAGCGGTGGCGGCTCGAGGGTGGAGGCGGTGGCTGGAGGCTGTGGTGGACTTTGAGTTTATTTAGGGGTCGAGTACGCGGGCCGCCGGCGAGCTGCTGCCGCGCATGCTGCGCTGTGGGCTTCGCCATCGTGTCCTGAGTACGTCGCCGACGCCACGTGCCGCTCGCCGCTGCCTTGGACTTCCCTGCCATCAGGCAAACACACAGACACACACACACAAACGCACACACGTTATTAATCGGGTAATAATTATTAAATATTAATCCTCGGGCGGCGGAGCGGCGCGGCGGCGGGCAGCGCGAGGCGGCGGCGCGGCGAGGCAGCGGGCGGCGCAGGGCGGGGCGGCGCGGCGGCGGGTGGGGTCATTAATTATTTGTTAATTAATAATTACTTAATAATCATCGGGCGGCGGCGCGGCGCGGCGGCGGGCGGGGCGGAGCGGGGCGGCGCGACCATCTGCACTGACCTCGGTCTCTGGCCGTTGCGAGCAGGGCAATGGTCGCGCCGCCCTCGACTCAAGGGGCTGCCTTCCACCCGCCGCTGCTTAGGCCGGGGGAGGGGGGGAGACCTCCTGTTCCTCGCGGAACGGGAGCAGGCCCCTCCTTGCCCGGTCTGCGAAGCAGGGCGGTGGTCGTGCCATCTTGGCTTCACAACGAGCACGCCGCAACCGTCGCCGGCGCGCGACACGTTCCCGTCAGCAGGACTGTCCTGGTCGAGAGTGTGTGCCGCCAAGGCGGGACCACTCGGGGACAGTGCCGACGGGACGCGGCTCGAAGGGCGTGGCTCCGCAGCACGACTGGCACTCGTCGCAGAGGCCTCGCATTCGACAAGTCGGGAACGGCTCTACCCGCAACTTTCTCGCTAACACGCGCGCACCGCCGAGCCTGGGGCGGGCGCGCTGCGGCCGCACGTCTAACTTCGTCATAGTGCCACGACGTGCGGCCTAGATTTAGCCCACGCGCCTCTGCTCGCAAACACTCACCCATTTGATTGTCACTGTCCGTGAGTGCGAGAGAAGGCTAGCCGCAGGCAGCTAGCCCGTGAGGAGAGCGTCCATAGACACCTCACTTAGACCCCACACACGGTCTCGTCCGTGCCTCGCCGGCCGGAGAGATTGCTAGAGGTGGAGCATGCTGCTCTAGCCTCACATGTCACTTCCTATCGTCTGTTGTTTGTTGTGCCCTTGTTTGTTTCTCTTGGCACCTTGGAGTGCTGGGGGGGGCGACAGGGAGGATGTGGCCTTGAGTTATGTGTACGCCAACTCAGGGTGTGTGGCAGCCAGCTGGCTGTGTGTCTTGTGAGCTTGTTTGTGTCTGTGTGTCGCTCGTGCGTGTCGTCATCATCTGTCTAGCGTCCACCCATACCGCGTTGGTGTCCAGTCCTGGGTGGTGGTGAGAGGAGAGGGAGAGATTTATGAAACGTAAAGTGCCGCACAGTCACACACAAACACACACAAGCAAGGCACGAAAGAATTTTTTTAATACATGTAACATACGTACATGCCCGCTCTCACAGACAGGGGGCCAGCACGCCCAAGTCGTACCGTCAATCACACCAAGGCTAGAGAGAGAGAATCTCTCTCTCTCTCTCCAAGGCTCGAATAGAAGAAATCTCGACGACTGCCGACGCGCGCCAGTCCCGTGCCCAGTTGGTTGTCCGAGGGAGTTGTTTCGGATCTCATTCCTCTCTCGCGCTCACGACGCCCGCAACGATGCTGCTGGGCCGACGACGCCAGACAACTCGGACAGTCTGGGATCGCCTCGTCTGCTCACGAGCAGCGCACTCACTCCCGCCGCACACCATCTTTCTGCCAGCCGGCCGCGACTCGACAAAGGAGCGGGCCCAGCGAGCGCTGCCGGCCGGGCGAACCCCGGTCGCCTGCTTGCTCGGCTGGGTCGGCTGCGGCGAGCGGGCGTTGCGCAAGTACGCTGACCTTTACACTCGCCGCGGCGTCGACGTCATCGCGCTGCTCCTCAAGCCGCAACATGTCGCACTGCCCGTCTCGCGTGGCGAAAGCACGATGAAATGTATCGCCGACGTCCTATCTGCGGCCGATACGCGGGAGAGGCCCATAATGGTGCAGGGCTTCTCGGCGGGCGCCTTTATGTACGGCAACCTCTTGACGGAGCTGGGCCGTCGCGGTGCAGAGGGCGCCGACTTTGCGGCTCGCATCAAGGGCTCCGTCTGGGACAGCCCCGTCGACGCGAGCGGCGTGCCCTTTGGGCTGAGCCGGGCCATTATGGACGGCGGTGTCGCCGGCCGGTCGGAGGGGACGGTGGGCCAGCGGCTGCTGCAGAGTGCGCTCGAGGCGTACCTCTCTCCGAGCGGCCCGATGAGGCAGTACTACCAGGCCTGTTACCTATGACACCCGTCAGAGAGAGGAGAGGAGATGTCAGCTCGGCAAGCCGATCCGCCGCACCACGTGCTCATGGTTGGAGGAGAGGCGCCGTTCGCAGCTCGTGTAATCACGCTGATGGCGGCGTGTGCGAGCCTCTTGCCCTCCTCCCGCCCGGCCATGCAGGCCTCGAGCGACGCGATGCACGGCAAGGCATTCGGCGCCGGCTTCTCGTCGCCGCTCGCGGCGCCGACTCCGGCGGACGCGCTCGGGGAGAGACGGACGCGTCGCCGACACGTCCCGCCGCCTGTCCTCCGTAGGTGCCCACGGCGGTGATCTACTCCGAGGCGGACACGGTCACGCGGAGCGAGGACATCCGGGCGAGACTCCGCCCCGCGGCGGGAGGGGAGGGGGGGGGCGAGGGCGACGCTTGCGCGACTCTGCCTGCCTGTCTCTAGGCGGTCTTTGACAAGTGGCGCGAGGCGGGCAGCGCCGTGGAGGAGGCGGTCTTCGAAGGGACGCAGCACGTGTCGCACCTGCCCGCCGACCCGGGGAGGTACGAGCAGGTGGTGGCACGCGTGGTGCGCGAGGCATTCGCGGGGGCGCCGGCCGGCCTAGCGGCGGGCGCTATCCGCTGAGGCGGAGCTTTAGCTCGAGAGGAAAAGATGTACGTGCAGCGCTCGGTCCTCGGAGAGACCACTCCGAGAACGTCGGTGTGTGTATGTGGCATGTGTATGTTCCACGGCTCATATACAGTGTATGTGACAGCTACGTACTCTATAAGGCGCTCTTGTAAAGTACATGTACGGCTTTATTTACAGACAGGATAAACACAGCACTCTCTCTGCATAACACTCTACAGGTGCGTGTTGTACACGTGCATGCATCGAGGTACGTTCTTGCACATTATGCACATGCGACATTTACATCAGAAAAACTCTCGGAACCCAACGACGGCGTCCGCGCTACTGCGCGAAGCTACGAGCGCTCTGAATCCGACTCATCCGCGGCGGATCAAGAAGAAGGCGACGGCCGGCGTCGGGCGTCCGCCCGCCCAGGAAGGCATGCCCGCCCGCCGCGGACACCTCCCTCGCCGTCTCCTCGAGGACGCGCACGACCTCCGCGAACTCTGGCCGGTGCGACGCGGTGGAGGACCAGCCCGCCTTCACGAGGGCGTGCAGCTGGAAGGGCCACGCCTTGCCGAGTGGAGGCCGGTTGCCTCCGCAGCACACCTCGCGCAGGAAGACCGAGGGCGTCATGAACTCGAAGGGCTTGCGGCGCGAGAGCATGTGGTACAGCAGCGAGGTGAAGGAGAAGACCTCCGCCTTGTGGTTGTACGGCTGCGAGAGGGCGACCTCGGGCGCCATGTACCGGAGCGAGCCCGTCATGCCGGTGAGCTGCCGGGCGGCGTCGTCGTCGGCCGCGTCCTTCTCCCACAGCGCGAGCAGCCCGAAGTCGGCGAGCACCACGCGCCCGTCGGCGAAAACGCCGACGTTGTTTGGCTTGATGTCGCGATGGAAGAGCCTGCAGGGTGGCGGGCAGGTGGCGGCGTGAAGCGTGGGTGGGGGCAGTCGGAGCCAGCCGGCCGGCCGGTGGGCCGTCTGGCGAGGGTGGGATGTGTCTACAAAACGGCCCAGTCGCGGTGTCTCAATACAACCGATCGGGGAGAGCCACCTGTATCCGGGCAGGAACTCGTCGTGGCAATGCCGCAGCGCCCTCGCGAGCTGCAGCCCGACCGAGAGCCCGCGGGCGAGAGGCCACTGGCGCGCCTCCCACTTGTGCGCAAGCACGCCCGTCGAGGTGGGCAGGAGCGCACTCAGCGGCTGCGAAAACATCTCGAGGCAGCAAAAGGGCGCCCCATCCTTCCCGGTGCCGTGCGCGACCATGCGAATGATGTTCGGGTGCTCGAGCCGCGAGAGGATGGCGATTTCTCGTTGAAGATCTGCCAGCCCTATCGACTCTCGGCAGGAAGGTAGATCTCTCCGGAGCCGCTTCAAAGCGACCATGCAGCCCCGGAACGAGGCCGAGTGCACAGTGCAAAACTCGCCTGCTCCCAACTTCGAGAGCGGCTGCAGTTCGGAGAAGGAGACCGGCTCACCGAGCGGGTCTCTTGCCGCCGCCTCCCAGCCCGCCGCCGCCTCCGCCTTCGGCAGCTCGTCGCCGAGCCCGGCGAGCCGCGCGAGCTCGGTCACCGAGTCAGGCGAGTCACCACCCGTTGAGCTGTGCATCCTGGACTAAAGCAGCCGACGAATGCCCGTTGTGCTGTGCATCCTGGACTATACTCGTAGCAGCCGACGAATGAGGCCGCAAAAGAATTTGCACACCGGGATAAACGGAGGACGAGGCAGAGGAGAGCGACGCGACAGAGGATGAAGCGACAGGAGAGAGAACGACGAGAGTGGGACGACCGCGAGGTGGCATGAAGGTTGCAGCGAGAATCGGCGCGGGACTGCGAAGAGAGATAGGAAGAGGCAGACGCCCAAGGGTTGGGTCGTTCAGCGTGAGGAACCCGAGAGACGGCAAATCACCCGCCCCTAGGCTGCGGAGCAGAGGCAGCGTGCCGCCCGACGTGTTGTTGGACGCCAGCAGCCGGGACAGAACCGGCAGCGATCGATTCGCCTGAGGCGGTGTGTCGGAGGACATCAGATCGCCTGAATGCGGTCGGGGCTGGCGGGGCGAGGGCGCGGGAGTGCTCAGCGGGAGACGATCGCACAATCAGCTCGCCAAAGTCGGCCATCTCGGCGACGCGCAAGTGGTTGAGGTTGAGCTCTTGCATGAGTTGCAGCCTCCAGCACTTTGTCGGGAAGAGGCCCGTCTGCGGTGCGAGCCGGCGAGTCAGCTGCTCCGCGCTCCTTCGAGACTGCCGGAGTTCCTCCAGCACGCTCGTCAGCGCGCTACGGATGCCACGGCAGGTCGACCCGAGCGCGACACAGCTTGCGGGCGCTAGCGGGTCGAACAGCTCCGAAGCCAGGCGGGCGAGGAGGTCGTCCGGTGTCTCGACGCCCGCGATGGCGGTGGACGTGTCGGGGGTCTCGAGAGAGATCGGAGGCATGTGTATGTACGCATGTGTGTGTCGACAACGACGAGGAATCTAGGTCACGGCGAGAGGCCGCTCACAGCGTTCCTGAGGCCGGGCTGCTGCAGGTGTGTGTGTGTGTGCTGCAGGCAATCGAGGGCTTTCGTGCGTGGTTGCCGTCCTGATCCTCCTGCTGAGCCACATCAGTGAGTACATTGCGGACACACCTGCGCCGGTTCGCAGCTGCTGCATCCTGGAGCACCGGGCCCTGGTTCTCGAGGTTCTCGAGGTGGATATCCTTTGGCCGCGTTGGGTAGCGAGGATTGGTGTGACGGGCCCTGGAGCCACAACCGTATAAACCTCGGTTCGATCTCGCGGTACGAACATGCAGCATACAGAAGCATGTGCGATCCTAGCTTGTCCCGCATGTCGTCGCACCATCCCATCTCCGTGTACATCTTCGTCCACAATTGAACCGCGTTGCGAAGGCGCTCAAAGTCAGCTCCTCCTTATGAGACATCGGCCTCGGCAAGAGAATCACCGTCCCGACTCTCCGACGTCTCCTCATTCTCCGACGCCTCGTCGTGGACGACGCGGCCATGCCTCGACTGACTACACCCACAGCTCCATCCTCGTCACCTCGCTCGCGGTGCTCTCTCTCCACCAACGGCCTCAATGTACTGCTCAGATTCGAGTGCGACTGGTCACGCTCGACCGGCTCGCTAGTCGCCGGCAGGACGACGACCGAATGCGGCGCATCGCCAGCCTCTTCGCTCCCGCCGGCGCCATCCGTGTCTCCCGGCGGAGGCATCACGTTTCGAGCCACAACGGACTGCGCGCTCCGCTTTTCGAACCACCAAAACTCGCTGCACCCAGGTGCAGGTGCAGGTGCAGGTGCAACAAGTTTGCGCCCGGCCCTCTAGCGCCGCGCGCTGGCCCCGGCTGCGTCCCCGCGCGGCCTGCCCGATGGCGTGGCGCCCGCCCTCCACCCACCTCCCCGCGCGGGGCCGCTCCGGGGCGACCCGGCCGCCCTCCGTTGCTCCGACCCCACTGCCATACTACTATCCTTCAACAGTAAGCTGTGATTTGTAGTCCCTAGAGATAGCGGTGTGCGCTAATCATTATATCATTCGTGAAAGCCTGACCAACGCGCTCTCAAAAAAGTCAGTTTCAATCGATTCAAAGAGCCGATTCCCGCGCTGGCGCACGGACCCGCACGACCACGTGTGACGCGGCACGCGGGCCCGCAGCCGCACGGCAGAGAGGCGTGTGCCGTGTCCGCGTGTCCGCTTCACCCCGAGTTTGGGCGTTTTTTCATCCATTGTAGGAGAGAGAGCTCACGGCCAACGTGCGCCACTCTCCTCCGGCCCTCTGGTGCTCTCCGCTCTCTACCCTCCCTCGTGGACGACCACGGTGACATTCTCAAAGTCAGCGCACCGCGTCGAGGTCAGCCTCGGCCAGCCGTCTGCGTGCGGGCCGACAACGTGCTGCTGGCCGATAAAGTCGGCGAAGAGGAGGTCCTCGTGCTCCGCGCCCGGCTTCTTCAGCGTTCCCCACGAGCCGCTCCCCCAAGGCGTGTCGAGCGCGCCGCCCGCGTGGAAGTGGAGGCCGCTGATGCCCGACCAGGTGGCCCTGCCGCCCGCGGCGACCAGCCTGCCGCCGAGCGCGCTGCCGGGCGCGCCTCTGACGCGAGGCGCCTCGCGGCACCACTTGCCCGCCTTGAGGCCGACCCCCCAGTGCCAGGCGTGGATCCCGCCCTGCGCAGCGCGCTTGGTGGGCCGCCCGAGGCCGTTGCCGAGGTCGACGTCCGGCGCGGCGCCGTGGTAGCGCGCAAAGGCGTCCTCCATGCGCGGCAGCTTCTCGGGGTGGTAGTTGATGTGCAGCGAGACGGGGCGGTGGCGCGCGAGGAGCTGGTCGTCCTCGCGCATGTACCGGAAGAAGGTCTTGCTGTTCATGTGGCAGAGGTAGTTCATCACGCGCGCGGCGATGCCGTGCGCCGGCTCCCGCGGCAGCGCCGCCCACCACATCTCCTCGTTGTACGCGGTCTGGTCCCACACCGCCTGAGGCGGCGCCGGCGAGGGGCGGGCGTGGGCAAGCGAGGGGGGGGGGGCGAGGGCGAGAGGGGGGGCGAGGGGGGGAGAACGTGCACGGGACAACGTGCGGGCGGGCGGGAGGTCGCGCCTCGCGCTGCATCCGCCCCTTGAGCCGCGCCATCATCCGCACCGCCTCGACGGTCGCGCGGACGTAGAAGAGGCCAGAGTTGCGCGCGCCGAGCCGGAGGCTGCGCGTGTGAGAGGGCCACTCGTACCCGTACGCGGTGACGTCGTCCCAGCCGTCCGTCATCCCCTCCACGTCCGCGTCGCGGTAGAGGGAGGGCAGCGTGAACGGGTTCTGCATCCACAACACGTCGACGTCGGAGAGGAGCACCGAGCAGCCCGCCGAGAGGAACTCGTGCAAGACGGCGAACTTGAGCCCAGACGTCGCGTGGTTGTCGGTCGAGCCTATAGGGATGCAATCTCGACCAATCTCGATCTGCGCTGGCTCTCGGCCGACTCTCGGCTCGCTCGCCTCCGCGCGCCACCAGCTTCCGCACGTACGTGTGCGCCCCCTTGCCGCGCGCGAACTGGGCCGTCGCGTCGTCGAGCGCGACGACGACGGCGTTCGAGATGTTTGCGCGCGCGCAGCCGACCAGGAAGGTGCCGAGCATCGCAAAGATGTTCTTGTTTGAGACGGCGGCGAGCACCTGCTCCCACAGCAGCCCGACCGTGCAGAGGGGCGCCGGCTCGCGGGTCGTGCCGTGAAGGGACGGAGAGCTTCCGGGCGGCGGGCGGCGAGGCGCCTCCCTCCCAATGGCCGCCTCCTTGAGCAGCTCGCAGAGCGCGCGCATGTTTTCGTCCGCCGCGCAGGCGCTCGGCTTTGGGAAGGCGTCGCCCGGCTGCAGGATGTCGTTCAGAGTGCGCGGGGCGGCGGACCCCTCGTCGCGGGGCTGCGCGCGGCAGCCGCGCTCGAGCACGGCCTCGCGCGCCTTGGAGAGGTGGGGCGCGCGGTGTGAGTCGCAAGCCGAGGGCTGCGAACTGCGGGCGCGGAGCACGCAGCGCCTCGGAGAAGAGCGCGCTGCGAAGGATGTCGTTTGGACCCGGCCCCATCGCCGCCGCGTCCACGCCGGCCCTCTGCTCGAGCGCGACCTCCGCCTCCTCGTCGCGGCTCGCTGCGGCGGTCGCGACGTGTCCGCCCCCGAAGAGGCCCCTCCCTCCGAGGAGGCAGTCGCGCCGCAGCACGCGCATCGACACGCCCGCGCGCGTGTCCCCGTCGTGCGCCTACGAGCTCGGCCAGTCTCGGGCTGATCTCGGGCGACCTCGACGCCGGCGCGCGAGCCTGCGCTGGGGGCCGGCTGGTGCACGAGCTGCGTGAGCAGAAAGGCGAGGCTGCCGCTCGGCCGGCTCCGCTCGCAGTCTGCGCCGCAGCCGAGCAAGCGGTTGGCGAGCTGCGCCGCCAGCTCCGCCGCAGGAGCCGTCGGGTGGAGGGCGACGACGGCGGGGTCGAGCATCGGGCACGCCATGGACTGGCCGTACGCGGACCAGCCCATCGGAGGGTCGTGCACGCCGACCACCGAGCCGCGCGACATCTGCGAGCCGAGCTGCGCCGCCTGCAGGGGGGAGGGGGACGTGTCGCGGACGTGTCGGGGACGTGTCGCGGACGTGTCGCGCTGCAGCACCTCGACGTTCGACGATAGCCCTATCTCAGCCAAGCCTCGGCTACGTCTCGGCTACCGCCGCCTCCACGTCGACGTCAGCCGAGAGATGCGGGAAGGGGCTCGCCGCCCAACGAACCTGAGGTGGAGGGTTCGGGTTAGCGGAGAGGTGCGGGGAGGTGGATGATGATCGCCGCCGAGGGCGCACACCCGCGAGGTGCTCAGCACGACCGTGCAGCCCGCCCTGAGTAGCTGCGCACCGACGCGCCACAGGGCGCCCGCCGAGACGCGAGCGGGCGCCGCGCCGCTCCCCGCCTCGCGAGGCAGGTACCACCCGACGCCGAGGGACTGCGCCACTGTGGCCGCCTCGCGAGTTGTCGCCACGAGCAGCAGTTGGCCAGGCGAGACGGCTCCCTTTGCCGCCGTGAGGCGCTCTGTTAGGACCGACGAAGCTGGCTGGCCGAGCACCGACGAGAGGAGCAGCAGCGAGTGACCCGGCGCACTGGCGGCGATGGCACAGACGACGGCGTCGCTTGCTTGGCACGGCGTGTGCGGCAGCCTCGGACGCTGCGTCTGCTGCTCTCGAGGACCTGGCGCCGGTCCGCAACCGCTGACCACCTGCGGCGGCTTGGCATGCGGCAGCGAGGCTGGCAGCCAGTACTCTGGCGTGATATCCACTGCCGCTGCCGTAGCAGCTGTGGCTGTGTTTGACAAACGAGGCGAACTTCTCGGCTCCTGGGCCGTCGCCGGCGACGAAAGCATGCTGCAGGCGTACAGGACGAGCGCGGCGGCGACGGCGAAGAGGAGTCGTGCGAGGAGCGGCAGGCCCATATAACACACGGATCTATTTGCCAAACATCATGAAAGCACGTCAAGCAAAGAAAAAGGATTCGTGGCGGCGAGAATTGGCGAGAGACTGCAAAGAGAGATAGGAAGAGGCAGACGGAGACGCCAAGGTTGGGCAACGGCTAGCACCAAACTCCTGTCTTCTCTCCTTAAAATCCTGCTGGCGCGTGGCGGCGTGCCGTCCTCCCACTCCAAGTGCTCCCATTCCTCCGTTGCGCGTTGCCCAACGGCGTTGGTCTATTTTCTTGATTTTCTGTTCTTTCGGAGACGCACGGAGAGACGGAGTGGCAGGAGGCAGAAACCGACGTTAACCGTGAAGCCACGAGTGGCCAACACGCCGCCAAGTCACGTCGTACCTCGAAAAACGCGAGAAAATCCAAGAAAAAACCTTCCGGCATGGTCTTTTCATGGTCTTCCTCGGTGCTGGCTTCAGGTCGCGCAGGCTTCAGGTCTCCGAAGCCGATGGTTGCAAACGTGGTCGCCGTAAAGTAGAGGCGCGTCGACCACCGGCCAGCCCTCGACAACCACAAACGCTGATGCAAAGGCGCCGACAATTCCGGCGGTGAGCGACGCAACTCGGAGCGTGAAGAAGCCGCGAGACACTCATCGTCTGGTGGGCGTGGACCGTGGTCGAGGAGGTCGCTCGCCACGCGCTCGCTGAGGAACTGGGTCGTGAGCAAGGCGGACCATATGCTCCGCAAGCGTGTGAGCGCTGGCTGCCCCCCATGGGGCTCGGACTGCGCAAAGGACCCCCATGCTGGGTGCTGCATTTGAGATTTGTGTCTCCCCCGCGCTTTTTCCCTGTTATATGTTTATTATATTCGGAGATAGCCGCGCCGCGGCTATGTAGGTTATCCGACAACGCGAAGAGAGGAACCGACAAACCCAACCCACCGTGAGGGGGGTTCCCGTGACCAATCGTCACCAACTATTACGTTCCGCGCGCGGCTGAACGAGTGTTTGTCGGACCCTCGCGCTTCTAGGCGCCCGAGTCCTCTTCTCGTCTGCGATTTTGTGTGGTGGTATCGTCGCGATGCTACGCCAGTGGGACACTGGCGAGGCTCTTCGAGCCGACGGTGCCGCTGCAGTCCCACACGTTCCGCCGCAATACCGCCGCCGCTTTCCGCACATTGCCAGATGGTCTGTGGCCGCCGCAACGCCAGATGCAGTCAGTGCAGGCAACGCTTATACTGACGCGGCGTACAAAAGGGACAAGCCTTTCTGGTCTGGCCTCCTATCAGACGGGCCACGATCAGACAGTCGTGCACCTTGGCGCTCTCCCAGCCCCGCAACCCGCCGCCGCTCAACAGCTGAGCCGAGGTGGCTGAGAGAGCTGGCTGAGAATGAAGAGCTCACAGTCAGGCGACTTGCATGCGGAGTGCATGCTGAGTGCATGATGCGAGCGCTGGGCAACAGCGTATTACGCGAGTGTGTCATGGGCAGTAGCCGTCAAGGACAACAGCTTTTCTGTCATGGGCAACAGCCTGTTAGGGGCAACAGCCTGTCAGGGGCAACAGCTTATATGTCATGGGCAACAGCCTGTTAGGGGAAGACAACGCTTGTCAGCCACATTCGAGGCTTGTTAGCCAACCCGAGGCTTGTTAGCCATCTTCGAGGCTTGTTAGCTAATTCGAGGCTCCAGCCACACGAGGCTCCGGCGTCCGGCCACACGAGGCTCCGGCCACACGAGGCTTGTTAGCCACATTCGAGGCTTTTAGCCAACCCGAGGCCGGCCGGCCAACTCGAGGCTCGTTAGCCAGTTCGAGGCTCGTTAGCCACACGCTCGAGGCGTCTAGCCAGACCGAGGCTTGTTAGCCGTCTTCGAGGCTTTTAGCCACACCGAGGTGCTCGTTAGCCACGAGGCCTTTAGCCGAAGGCCTTAGCCGAGCGATCACTGCCCGGGGCGGCTACGGCCGCCACCCTCCTACCGGGCAACGACCCCAACTTCGTCGATGGGCCTGTTTGAGACTCTCAGGGATCGACTTCCCCGGCAATCGGCGCGATGGGCCTTATTCAGGGCGCCGACGCTCGGGGTCGTCTGGCAACGGCACCGGGAGCTCGAGACGCAGCTCTCGGGGCCAGCCAACCCAGGAGTCGATTTTAGGACCAATCTCAATAACAATCTATATATCAGCATGAACAAACAACTGGGACTCGGACGTCGGAGTCGCCACACGCCACTCGCCAGTCGGACGTGATGCCTGCCTGTCAGGCTGATGGTAAATGTGAGGAGAGAACTCAGAGAACCGCCAGGGAAATAATAAAAATCAAATCCATGCAGACGTCATGCGCGCTGACGCACGGGAGGGCGCGGACCGCTCGCCTCAACGAGCTGTGCGCGCGCCCGCCCGCACCTCTGACTCCCCAAACTCGAAGAGTCGGCGTTTACCCCTTGCACCATCACCTACCCCCTCCCACCCCCCCTCCCCCCCCGGGCACGACCCCCCACACCTCCCTCGGTGGCTGCCGCTCCCCCCGCCCTCGGCGGCTCAGGCCTCCTCGGGGCTCGCCGTCGGCGTCGGCACCGCGGCGAGGCCGAGCGCCCCGTCGCAGAAGCTCTTGACGAGCGGCAGGCCCGCCCGGCGCTCCGCGGCGCGGTAGGTGGCATAGCTCACCGCGGCGCCGTTGCCGAGAGGCTTGTGCTCGATGGTCGGGGCGGAGGCGGCGGTGCGCTCAAAGTCGCGCCGCGAGTAGGCGGGCAGCCGGTGCGTGCCGTCGCGCGACGTCAGGGTCAGCGTCACGACGGACGGCGAGAAGCAGCCGACCACGCGCTCGACCAGGTCGGCGGCGCGGAAGCGGGGGTCGTTGGTCTCGAAGGAGGCGTAGGAGAAGGCGACCTCGGGGGTGACGTGGACGGTGTAGTAGTACGGCCCCGCGAGCGCGTTCATCGAGTAGCCGCACGGCTCGAAGGCCCAGTCGTCGATGAGCGCGCCCGGCAGCAGGTCGGCCAGGCCGCACGACGTGGTCATCGCGCGCGCGAGGGCCCCGTCGGGGAGGGGGCCCCAGCCGGCGACGTCCTTGCCGTCGGGGCCGCGCTCGAAGCCGAAGAGGGCGCACACCTCCGCCGACAGCCCCTCCATCGCAACCTCGAGGATGTCCTCCCCCGCGAGGGACGGCAGCGCCATCTGCCACTTGTTGAGCTGCGCCGGCAGCGGCCTCGGCGCCGCGACGGCGGCGCGCCCCTCGACGGCGAGCACGTGCCAGCAGCAGCC